GCTGCTGCTGCTGCTTGGGAAGGTTGTGGAACATTTAGTGGGTGGAGTTGTGCTGGAGGAAGTAGATCATTGAGGGTGTTGACCTTGAGCTTTAATAGCCTGGTTTCACTTCCTAGCCACTCTCTGCTTCCTGGTCCTCTGAGATGTGAGGCCTCCCAGCCACATGTGCATACCACCATGAACTCTACCATGTTTTTCCCATCATGATGAACTGTATCCTTTGACGCTATGAGCTAAAATAAACCTTTCCTCCCTTAAGTTGCTTTGCCAGGTATTATCGTTGGCATCATTAGCCTACCTCTCTAATCTCTCTAAGCCATGACCTCCTTATTCCTCCTTCTCTAGTGTTCAGTGCCACATGGCCTCCCCCATTCTTCCCAAAGTCTGCTCAAAAAGTGCTACCCATTTTAGGGTACAAAGAATTGATAACTGCTTGTAATTGTTTTTATTGTTGAATATTTAAAAATGTACAGATAAGAGCAGAGAATGATGAAATAGATATTTTGAATTCAGAATATATGCCAATATATATGTTTGTTAGATCTTGGCTCTGTGTCCTCTTTGATCCAGATTTTTAAATTAGAATATAAATGTATCAGTTATGCTTGAAGGTCTAAAGCTACAGTGGTATATTTGATTATTGTGCATTATTCCCATATGTACAGTTTCTCTCATGTGCCCAGCCTTTTTTGCAGACACCCCTTCCCCAATCCCTTAGAAGACTTTCATGTTCAGGAGGTTCCAGCTGTAAGCCCATTTGCCCTGAAGGACAGATGTTCTGTGTGAGAGCATTCAGACCTATGGCTAAGTGTTTGATAGGGGAGGGCCTACCCCATTCCAGAGCCATCTCAACAGATCTAGCTAGGTTCAGGGGACTCTGAATGGAGCTTGGGCAGTATCTCAGAGGGGCAAAGGGTGCAGAAGGTAGGAGCCACAACACGAGAAGAAAGGAAATACTGAGAGGAACATTCTGCCACAGGCCAGAGGAGCTTTGGAGGGAAGTTCCCCAGGGCTTTGAGAACCAGGGCAGAAGCATGCCTCCCTGTTTCAGTGACTCTGGCAGCTGTATAGAAAAGACTCCCAGGGCTACTGCATGGCTGGGCCATTTGAATGGGTGCACCATAAGCCCAGTAGGTGATTAGCTGATCATTCATCCTTAATGGTTCCCATCAAGGGAGAAGGCTGCTCAGGCAGAACCACAATCCCTATTCCTACCAGAGCCAAGGCCCATGTCAGTCTCACTGGTCTTGAGAGGTTCTATGGACTCTCATCGCCTTCCCCAGCATGAAGCACCCTCTTCACTGCCTATCCCCCATGCCGTAGATCCCTTTCTTAATTTCCATCTCTATCACCACTATGAAATCAAGCATGGAACCTGGCTCTAACTTACTCCCTGCTGGGTTAAGTCTGTATCCCTAGCTGCTCTATAGAAGTACTGCCTAGAGGGAGCTCTGGACCCTGCCCATGGAGGAGATTGTACTGACTTCTGTCCTGACAGTGATAGTGCACCTCTAAGCTGCCCAGTGCCTTTGTAATTGTACCAACTCCAGATCACTCTTCTCTGGGAACCCTGAGTCCACCCATAGGCCACCCATGTCCCTCCACTCCCAGGCCCTCTAGAGACCATGTCCTTCCTTATTCCTGCCTTACATCCTTATCTCTGTCTGCACTGCTGCTGGTGGACACGTTGTACCACTCATGAGAGCATGCCCTTTGTTGGAAGGTGCTTAGGAAGTGACTTAAGGAACAAAGCAGAACTATCTTGCTAAGTCTGGAACAGCTTACCAGGTGATGAGGTCACACAGAGATATGTGTAGAGACTCCCAAGGAGGAGGTTTGTCTCCATAAAAGTAACTGCTCTATGGGATGTCACATCCACGTAGTACAGCTGGGGCTAGTATCTGGGATTCCTTGAAGGAGGGAAGCTAAAAGTCACCTTACTCTTTGGCTATCCCCACCCTGTCAGCCTCAGCCAGACTCCACTTAGGAGAGGAGAAAACATGCTAATATATAAAGCAGAGAGATTGTTCTTACAGTGATTTAAACATATATATATACATATATATACCATATATGTATATATACACCACAGACCCACATGCGTGTGAATATGTGTATGCTTTACTCAAATGTAGAGGTGCACATACTTACAAATATATGTATATATTATATGTGTACTTACATACAATGCATATCTGTGTATTCATGTATGTTACTTATTGCTTTGTGAAATTATCTTAGACTTATAGCCATAATATAGTCTATTATATAGACTTATAGATGTAGAAATAGCTCCAGGTATTCCCCGTCACCCAGCTCCCCATAATAGGAACATCTTGCAGAACCATAGTACAAGGATCAGAATGAAGAAATTAGCAGTGGAACAATGTTATCAAGTAGAAACTTTGTATTTGCAGTTCAAGTTTTTTCACTAACGTCCTTTCTCTGTTTTGAAATCCAAATTTGCATTTAATTTTCATGTCACCCTGTTCTCCAACCTGTGGTACTTTCTTGGGTTTTCCTTTTTTGTAAGTTTAAGAGAAATTTTATTGATTCAAGAATTTCATACAATACAGTTGTATAAGAGAAACAGAAATTAAGGGTGAAAATCCCACTCTAAGAAACTTGGGCATTTTCTGACCCAAAACAACAAACAGAGGAAAAGGAGTCAGCTCTTACTTTGAGTTTTCCTTTTCTTACACAATCTTTTTAAAAAATATTTTATTGGTGTGTGTGTGTGTGTGTGTGTGTGTGTGTGTGAGAGAGAGAGAGAGAGAGAGAGAGAGAGAGAGAGAGTATTACCTGCATGTGTATAAGTGCACCCGTGTCATGCAGTGCCCACAGAGGTCAGAAGAGGGTATTGGATTCCCCTGGAACTGGAGTTACAGATGGTTGTTAGCCATGTGGGTGCAGGGATTCAAACCTAGGCCCTCTGCAAGAGCAACCAGTGCTCTTAACTGCTGAGCCATCTCTCCAGCCCCTCCTTACACAGTCTTCACACTTTTGATGAACATTCCTCAGTGATTTTGGAGAAAATTCATTAATCCAGATTGTCTGGTGTGACTCATGATCACATTGAGATTGGGCATTGGAAGAATTCCTCAAAAGTGATGTGCTCTGCTCAGCATGCCATGTTAGACACTGTGGTGCTAATACATTCCATTACTGACAATACTGATCTTGCTCACTTAAAGTAGTGACTGAGGGGTTTTCTCTCTCTCTCTCTCTCTCTCTCTCTCTCTCTCTTAATTAAGCAATTCATTGGGAGAGATGCCTTGAGATTGTAATTATATTCCTAGGGTATATAATCCTGAGAATTGGTTATCCAGATAAAAGAGCTAAGAATCTAAACTACCAGAAATTAGCACCTGTAGGTAACTTTTACCACCTCTTAACATGAGGCCCAAGGGAAGAGATGGTGTTGCAAGAGTGCAAGAGGCCAGGGTCAAGGTCATGTGTAGAAGCTTAGCTGATGAGACTGGAGCTGTGAAGAAGGCCCAGTCCCTCTTGGTAATGCCTCTAGAAGGAGGAAGGGAGTCTGGGAGGAAAGGAGATGTCCTGGCCCCTCCCTTCTTCCTGTCCTGGGGAGCCCAACCTGAGGCCAGATCACCCAGGAACCCGAGAGGTGTCCACCTGTGCAGTATGGAGGGACAGGGATGGACCTGAAATGAGCTAATGCCTTGCTATCACTCCAGAGCTGTGCTGTCCAATCCAGTGTGACTGGCTGCATGTGACTCTTGAGCATTTGAAATGTGGCTCATCCAATCTGAAGTATGCACTGAGTGGATTTCAAAACCTTAGTATGCAAAAAAGAATGTAAATAACTCATTCATTTTTGTTTTGTTTTGTCTCATCATAGAGCTCAAACTCAGGATCCTCCTACTTCAGCCTTCCTGGTGATAGGATTACATGCATTGCCTCGGCCTTATTTTTTATAACCTATTTAAGTGATAATATTTTGGACGTATTGGGTTAAGTAAGGTATATTATTTAATTTAATTTTTTAAAAATCTGGCTGTGAAGCCAGGCGTGGTGGCGCACGCCTGTAGTCCCAGCACTTGGGAGGCAGAGGCAGGTGGATCTCTGTGAGTTCAAGGCCAGCCTGGTCTACATAGTAAGTTCCAGGACAGCTGGGGCCACAGGGAGACCCTGCTTCAAAAAGACCAAAAAAAAAAAAAAAATCTGGCTGTGGCCTGGCATGGTAGCAGATGCCTTGGCGTGCACTTAAACTTGGCCTACAATGTCAGAATCATATTGAAAGGTCTTTCCTGTCATTGGCCCACTATCAAAAGAGGCTGTCGTCCCCAGCTACAATATAACTGCACTAGCCTGGAGCCATCCTTACTCAGCTCTGACTGGGCTGCATTCTCTCCACTTTGCATGCCATATGGATTGAAGGTTAAGGTCAGTGCACAGAAACATTAAGAAGGACAGCTAAATGTGGCTAACTAGCACTTGGCAAAGGAGGGCCACTTCAGTATGCCTATACAGTGACAATGGTCCTGTGCAGCTTCATAGAGTAGCCCAGCGTTGCTATGCCCATTTCACATATGACAGAACTAAGCATGGGAGAGAGAACACATGGGTTTCAGTGTCTTCCAGTGCATCTCTTTGGAGTTTGTCAAAATTCTGATCCCAGTGTCGTAGACTTTACATCGGTGATGAAGGGTAAGGCCCAGGGTCTTCCACATGGCACACTCTAGGGACTCATGTGCATGTGGTAGTCGGCCACACTTTGGGACACACCCCAACTTGAGCCAGTCTTTCGAGGCCAGTCTGGGATTCCTCTCTGATGCCAGATGCATGGCTACCCCAGATACATACCCAGAGGTCACTTTTATGTAGTGTTTTGATAGGCCACCTTGGACCTGCTGGTGGTTGGAATGGATTTGCCATTGAAATGCCCAGTTAGATTTCCTAATGCCTCTGCTGGAGGCCAGGCAGACTGAGGCTAAGCCTGTGTGTCCTGCTGTCACTAACCCCTCTTTTCTACCCTGCAGTGGACGGCTGATTGCAGCGAGCAGCTGGATGGCAGCTGTTCCTTCTCCAGAGGGCGAGCCCCCCCACAACAGGTAGGGAACCAGCTCTGTGCTTCATCTGGAGGTTGTCACATGTCTAGCTTATCTGGAACCCTGGGCTGGCCCTTGGGTGACTCCTAAAAGGAGCAAACAGAAAGATGGGTGAAGGGAAGGTCCAGTGCCTCTGGGAACCCTCCCTTAATTCCCTAGCCACCTTGGAGTGGCTCACCTCAATACGGATTCTTCAGACTGCCTTTCAGTAACCTTGTATGTCATGATATACATCTGATAACAGCCTAGATGTCCACTGAGAGGAGGGTGGAGAGATGCTCTGTGACTTATCTTTATGTGGAAGATTGTGTGGCAGTCAAATGAGCAAACTGGAAGTGTGGGCAGTGACATTGGTGGGCCCCATAAGCACTGAGACTCGGGATTTTGAAGCTAATGGAGTACTTTGGAGATCCCCTTTCCAGATCTGCAGAGGGCTGGGCCAAGAGAACTTGTGGAGGAGCTTAGAGGCCTGTCCTCCCCAGTCCACAGCTGTTTGGGGGTTTGGTTAGCCCTTCCCTGCCCTAAGTATCCTGGCACTCAAAGGCCTGCTTACATGGCCAGGAGGTCCCCAGGGGCTGTGTGACCAGGAAGGAAGGGAGGTAGATGCTCTTGGAGGGGCATCCAGGTCACTAGGGTGCCTTTCCAGTGGTCTAGCTGGTCTCACTAAGACCATGTCCCTACCTGTGGGAGACTATGTGGTTAGAAGCTGAAGAAACCATTTGTTCTAGCTTAGCCCCACCTCAGACTCAGACTTCAGACTTCCTGATCCTACAGTTGCTACAGAGGATACATAGCCTGGCCCACAGGCTTGGTCCTACCTCAGTCCCTTGTGCTGATTAGAACTAACCCACTTCTCGGGGTGTAGCTCAGTTGTAGAGCACTTGTTTAACATGGGCAAGGCCCTGGCTTCCATCCCCAGCACTACAGAGGAAAAAAATCAAGTCAATACGGCCCCCCCCAAAGCTTCTCTATTCTACTAAAAGGGAAGATTCTTAGTGTCCTCAGTTCTGGATCTTTCTTAGGCTTCAAGGCTATTGCTGCTCCATGGTGTAGAGAGACAGCTATACTGGTGGTTCACTTTTATTACAAGATTTGTTTGTATGTGTAATTGTTTCTCTTTTTAATTTTATGTTAATCATGTGGTTTCATCATGGCTTTTCCATATATGCATATTAAACCATGGGGCTGGAGACATGGCTCAGTGACAGAGAGACTGCTGTTTATTTGGGGCTTAGAAAGGTCATCAAACAAACAAACAAACAAACAAACCCAACAACTCAGCATGGGGACAGGAGCCATGGATTCTGGATTTGCTCTGCCACAAACTTGGTGATCAAGTCCTTCCTTCTTAGATCTTGGCCTCCTCAGATGAAAACCAGGGGATCCTGGGTGGCCTTGGAGGGTCTACAGAGGAGTGGGGCTTAGCCAAGCTGGAACTTGTACCTTATACTGGGCCTCTTGCTGCCCAGTACCCTGAGCACTTTCATCTGCCCTGCTACAGCCTGTCTGCCACCTCTTTGACCAGGGACCCCATTGTTCTCCTTGAAGCCCTCACCTTGGCCTAAGCCTTGTAGTTCAGTGGCGCTGTCTCTAGTTTCTGATATTGTTTGGGAATGCCCTATGAGATGCCTTTTACTTCAAACAGCAAGGGGAGGCTTGGCTGTAGCTCTAGGCAAGGTTGTTTTCACAAGATGACAAGATGAGGGGTTGGTCAACAAGAACTACCTGTTACTTGGTTAGTAGGTGTCTAGTTCTGGAAGCTTCCAGGATAAGGTCCTTCATTCTCTCCTGTTTATCACTAAACCCACTCTCCCTGCTCTTACCCCTTGTCCCATCACTCCAGACAGGGTTTCCAGGGGCTAAGAAAGGGACCTTTTTCCATCCCCCTCACCTGTACCAGTCCCCTCTAAGCTGCTCTTGCTCCATCATTTCATCCACTTGAAGTGGATGCAGATATTGGTCTATGTGATGTAGTAGGGTGGGACTCGTGGGATGGCTGTCGCCCACTGGGGTTATGTGCAGCTTTTCTGTGCACTGAGTACCCTGACAATGTGAGGACCAGCTGACCACAGTCCCTGCTTTGGGAAGGGGCTGTATAGTCACTTGGGATGAGCAGGTTTCTTCAGAGTGAAGCCTCACTAGACATGGAGAAGAAACTGTGAAATGCTCATATGAGACCCTTTCTTGACTGGTGGAACCAAGCTACCGGTTTACTGAAGATCAGAAGCTCTAGGCAGGAGGTGATGGTCTGAATGTTAGCTTACCTTCTTCTCTGATGTGACTAGCATTGCTACCACTTGACCTGTGGTACCATCTGATTCGTGCAGGAGTGGTAGGGGCCCTGATGAACCCCCACTGAGCCACCATATGGCCCTATACCTTGGCATCTCAGGAGGACCCCTTTCCCCAGTGACTGTGCTTGGAGTGGGAAGGCTTGGCTTGCTTACATCTAGATGGGCACTTCTTATACTGTAAAAGCTGCTCAGAGCCAGTGTAGACAGAGGCCTGGCATGGGGCCCTGGGCATACCTGATGCTATGGCTCCTCCCTCAAAGGCATCACCCTCAGTGAGACAGACAAGACCAGGTGGAAAGGAGCTCCAGACACAGAACAGGAGGTGCACATGTCCACAGGGCAGTGGAGAGGTCAGAAGGCCAAGGTAGAGTCCAGGTGCCACACCACCCTGCATAGGGAGGTAAGAGTAGCCATGGCCCAAGTTTAAAGGAGGCCTCCTGAGGTCAGGAACACCTTATGTCAGACACAAGATGGAACTTGGTTTCTCTCTTGCTCCCAGCCCAGGTAGGTGTTTAGGGAAAGTCTGGCAGTTCAGCAACATCCAGCGGACTCTAGTTCCTCTCTACTCTACCCCTCTTGAGGGCGACTTTTATCCATAGCCCATGGGAGCTCCTGCCATCTCTGTGCCCCACCATTGAGAGCTCTGCTCTGGGTCTCATTCCAGGATTCTTTCTTTCTTTCTTTCTTTTTCTAAATCTTTTTTTTTTTTTTTTTTTTTTTTTTGTCTTTTTGAGACAGGGTCTCCTTGTAGCCCCAGGTGTCCTGGAACTCACTATGGAGACCGAGCTGGCCTCAAACTCACAAAGATCCACCTGCCTCTGCCTCCCAAGTGCTGGGATTAAAGACGTGCACCACCACGCCTGGCCTAAAAAAAAAAATCTTTTATTTTTATTTTTTATGTGTATGAGTGTATTGCCTGCATGTATGTAAATGCACCTGTGTTATGCAATGCCCACAGAGGTCAGAAGAGGGCATTGGATCCCCTAGAGCTGGAGTTATGGACGGTTGTTAGCCACCATATGGGTACTGGGAACCAAACCTGGGTCTTCTGTAAGAGCAGCCAACGCTCTTAACTGCTGAACCAGTCCCCTCATTCCAGGATTCTTGACTCTTCTCCTACAGCAACCATCCCTGGAAGCCTTCTGAGGAGGGATCAGAGCTTGTCACAGGAAAGCCCCTGGTAGCTGGCTATTGCTGCCCTGCTTGGACTTGTCCTCCAGTGGGCTTTGACAGAGGGGAGCCCAGGGAGTTGACATTCTCACTCCAGGAGTTTACCTAGTTCTTCCTCACCAAATCCTGCTGTCCAGACAGATAACCCTAATGCTAGCTCATATCACAGTCAAGCAATTCCTTATATCACATCTACACCCTTGGCCAGTCAACCCTAAGAAAGGAACTACCACTGGTTCCACATCCCAGTCTACCTGACTGGACCTTGCCTACATTAGGCTCAGTAATGATGCTGAGTCAGCACTGAGCTGGCTAAGGTCCAAGCAATATGGGCATTGGCTAACAGACCCTTTCCCCAGGCCACACAGAGTCTGTGAGCTTTCTGGAGCCAATGGGATGATAAGGTTTCTCTTAAAAAAAAAAACAAAACTACATTTACCTATGAGGAAAATTCCTTCTAAGAGGAAACTGAGGCTGTCAAGATACGGCTAACTGGATGCTCTGGCTCTCCTGACTGCCACAATTAAGTCACCCATGCCAGGAATGTGGAGGTTGGCAGAAGGAGATTGGGATAGGGAGGTAGAGCAGTCCTATACAAGCCTAGGAGGCTTGTGTGGCATTGCCCTACCCTGAACTGGGGCCAGGAGTAATACCTATGGGAATTAGCCATGCGCTGGGATGGTAATTTCTCTAAATCAGGCAGTGTCTTTATTCCTTGGTCATTTCAACTAATGCAAAACAAGTTGCTGTCTCTGAATGCTTTCAGCCAGCCTAGAGTAGCCTGAGTTCCTTGAGGTAGGAAGAAGAGTTGAGAACATCAAGGTGGGCCAACCAGCTGCCAGAAACTGGGTTTCACCTGTGTCTGGCAGTATGCCACCCCTGGCTCCTTTTACAACAGGCTACTTACCCCTAGTCATTTGGTGAGGATGATGGGACATGTCCAGCCTGTCCCTGCAGGAGAGGAATGCCGTAGTGATGGCTGAGGAGACACCCTGGAATGAGAGAGCAGCGGTAGTGCATTTGGAAACCTTGTCCATGTACAGGCCAGGGTTCAGGACTCAGGGAAGAAACTGAAGCTGTATGAAAACTTGTAAGGGCTCAGGAGCAAGCAGCTCTTCTCCGTCTGCTCCCAAGTGTCAAGGGAAGGAAATAAAAGTGTAAAAAGCAGTAGAGCCTCTGATGAAACCTTGAGAAAGACTTCCTGCCTGAAGGATTTGCAGGCCTGTGGTGAAGGCTTCTGAGCAAGATTGGTATCTGAGGGAATCTTTGCTGGGAACCTGATCAGCACACCTCCTTATCAGACAGTTTACAGCACAGGAAACCCTGGGAAAGCTGGGGAGTGTGAGACATGATGTCAGATTGTGGCTGATGACCTGTAATCCCATCTTCTCCAGAATGATAGGTGTAGGACATCCCATCATGAAAATGAAGGAGCCTTGCCCCAAGGTGACCCCAGAGTGACACAGCTTCCAAGTACCTCTTCTGCCAAATAAGATGTTGGCATTGGTCTGGATTTTCCAATTTCTCCACTGTTCTTAG